ATACAACATGCTGTTTTGTTCTCCAGTGTCGTAATAGTTTTGGGATTGTCAGACATAAAGAATTTTAAAATTGAGAAAAAATGAGAAAAGTTGTCACCAATCTTTTCTAGGATGTGATTGGCCACCCAAAAGTTTATCTTTTCAATAAAACTATAAAAGAGGGTTTAAAGTTTATTAAAAGGACAAATTTTAGTCTATGAAAACCAGGTTGGGTTTGGGAGTTGGTTACACGTGAGAAAGGATTAGCACTCCCACAACACCCATAAATTGGTATCATTTAATCATGCACTATTTTCGGTGTTGGATGAAATGGTTTTTTTAAAAAAATTTAATGCTAATCCCCTTTATTTTTAAAAAAATAAATTTTTGTTAAAACTCTTTATTTAGGAACATTGAGAAAATTTTTAAGTTAAAAGAATTACCTTAAAATTCTCCAACATTTAGGTAGAATTTAGAATAACTTTTTTGTTTAAGATTTAACATAATATTCCTCAAAATAAAAAATAGCACTCTTTGTAGAAAATAAATGTTGATGACTCTCCAAAATGTACGCAGAGTACCAAGAATTATTTTCTTTATAATGTTATTTTTATGTTATTTTATAATATCACAATTTTAAAAGATATATACTTTTTGTTTTGTGAAACATTTTATATGAGAAAGACATAATGGTATCATCAGATAACAAACAAAAATTAAAGATAGAGAAATGCAAAATAAATGTCAACAATAATATAATGATGCATGTAAGCCAATGGATATTATACAAGATGACGAAATGCAATTTCTTAGAGAAAAATGGATTTTTAAATATAATGAGACCGCATTGACTCTCTAACATCTAAGCAGAACCTAAGTGCAACTATTTATACTTGAGATCCCATTTTGTTTGTATACTTTTATTATTAATCCCATTATTAATGTGAATTAGGGATTCGTATGAAAAACTTAATGAAATAAAATTTCCTAAATACCCCATCATCTAGGCGACATTCGAGAATAAATCATTTCATGTGAGATTTTCACACATATCCTTAGAGTTTTCATAATAATTTCAAGTTTGGGTTGAAATTTTAAGGTTTGGTGTCTTTGGGTGACGATTTGAGGTTGTGTGCCAAATTTAGGGTTTGGGATTTTAGATTTTAAGGTTTTAGGCTTAAGTTCTAAGGGTTTTAGGGTTTAAAGGGTTTTAAGGCATGGATTTTAGGATTTTGAGGGTTTAGGGTTCTAATTTTAGGGTTTAAGGTTTAGGGTTTTGATTTTAGGATTTGAAAGGTTTAGAGTTTTAATTTTAGGGTTTAGAAGATTTAGGGTTTTGTTTTTAGGGTTTAAAGAGTTTAGGGTTTTATTTTTGGGTTTAAAGGGTTTGATTTTAGGGTTTAAAGTTTGGGTTTTTGGGGTTTGGATTTTAGGGTTTTTGATTTAAGGGTTTGGAAGTTTTGAGTTTTGATTTTAGGTTTTTGGTTTAGCGGTTTCGATTTGAGGGTTTAGATTTTTTAATTTTTAAAAAACACGAACATCTTTAAAAATTCTCAATATCTAGGCGAACTTTTAGAATAAGTTCAATTTTTATGAATTTTGAAAATTAATTAAAAATTTTCATATATTTCTTTTTTAGGAAATTTATTATTATTATTATTATTATTATTATTATTATTATTGTTGTTAATTTATTTAGAATTTTTCTTATAATAATTCCTCAATATCTAGCGAAATTATTATTATTATATTCCCTTCAACATCTAGGCAGAAAAAAAAATTTTATTATTTTTATAATCATTTTATATATATTATTATTATTATTGTTATTATTGTTATTATTATTATTATTATTATACAAGATTTATTATAAAAAAATAAAATTTAACTATATATTTTATTACTTATTTTTATCTATTGATTAATTATTTATAAAAATTCATTATAGCAAATTTAAACTTTTTAACATGCATAAATATTAATAATAACATTTAAAATTACAAGAATAATATTAAAAAATTTTCAAACAAAAATATTTGAAACGAATCGGTCAACGGTAGATCTAGTTAGCTCATGAGTTCGGTGGTTCAAACCGATCCAAACCGGTTCAATGGTGGTTCGTCTAAACCGGTTAAAGGTTAACTGAAGGATGGGTCGTCGGGTTGGGTCATGAGAATCTTAGGTTGGATTTGGGTTCATGCGCGAATCCTCTCTTGCGCAAAACGGCGTCATTTTGCTTCTAGTTTTCTATATAAAAGTCAACTTCTTTTTGATTCATTTCATCTTTACTTTAGAAAAAGAAATCCTCTAGCTCCAAAAAACTCTCTAGCTTAGCCAGGATCCGGTGCTAGGCCGTCACATCGACCCCCACCTGAGGTCGTCATTGGTGGCTATTGTTGTTCACTTGTGATCAAAAAATGCCAAATGTCACCAAAAAAATTTCCTTTGATCTTTTGAGCTCAAATCTACCTTCCTTTTTGCGAGAAATAGCCGGCATAGATCAGGGCTTCAAGTTTTTGGTCTTTTTTTTTTTTTTCTTTTTGAAAAAAATCGAAATTGATGATATTTTGTTTCTACAGGTAGCTCGGCATTGGGTTTTTCCTTACGAGGAGGATTGTTGTTTTTATTGTGGATTTTTGTTTGGTTTCCTTTTTTTGGGTTGTCTGTTTAGAAGGGGAATGGGTACCGGGTGAGGTTGAGGTTGAGGGTGCCAAGACCCTTGTCCGTGGAGGTTGAGAATCGAGGTAAGGTCGAGCTGGGGCTAGTTTGGGTGCTGGAGCTTTGGGCGTAGGCGTAAAGGCTGATTTGGGCGCTGGGACTTTAGGTACAAACATTGAATATGAAGGTTTCTGGGCCTCATAGGCATGAAGATGCAAGGTGCTAGGGGTGAGCGAGATTGGTGTTTTTTTTTTCTTGCCCAAGCCCAGTATGGGAAGAAGCTAGGGCTTTTTATAAGCTGGGTGTTTGGGATAAGGGGTGAAGTAGGTGGTGGTTGCGGGGGGTGGTTGCAAGTATGGTTAGGGGCTGTAGAGGGTGGCTGCAGGGTAGCCTTAGAGGGCTACCAGGTGGCTAGTGCTAGGCTTCAGCCCCCTTGCTTTCTGCTACTCTTTTCTTTTTTTTTTTTGTTTTTTCTAATTTTTTTAACAAATTATTAATATCTAATAAATAACAAAAAAAGAAAAAACAACAGTGAGCTTAGACCTGAAGAAGAAATCGGGCCTTAACCCGTGAGCTCGATAAAGCTCAAAACTTAAACCGAAATCTAAACAAATTTGGTGTCTACACCCGGTCCTTGAATTTGCTTTCATTTTCTTATCTAAGTTCAACGGAGGACCTTATTCTAGGGACATATGCCTATGACTTGAAAAAAAAATGAAAATATCATTAAAAAATTCTCACAAATCCAATCTTAAAATAAAATTCAAACATATTAAATTGAAAAGGCTTTGACTTGTCAGCTATGCTACATACAACAGCTGCAATGGCTTTAACTCATCTTCAGGAGCTGGGTGCTTTATTATTTCTATAGCCAACAGGAGGACAAATGTCACATATTTAACCAAGAGAAAGAGTGCAAAATCTGAGAATTTCACATTGCTCTTAACATTCTCCTTGATTTTAAGTAGAAATTTTGCCATTGTCGTCATATTAGTTTGGCATATACCAGACTAAGAATTCTTCTGATTTTCTGTAACAGGGTCATTGATAGCCACTTCATTTGAGAGAAGATCATTTCGTAAGTCATCAAGTCCGAACCATTGACCTGACAAAATAAGTTGGGATATATAAGATAATACAAGGTTTTCTTTTCTGAAATGATTCTAATCAGTGTAAAATAGAAGGCAATAAACATGTAATTGAGATTATTTATTCTTTGTAAAACTTTATAATTTTAAAAATGATAGTGTCAAAATTGATGATATTCTCTCCAGATTTCTCAAAACAAATGCGGTCAACATGATTGGAAGCAATTACCATACCCCTTCAACAGATTTATGATCAATTAAAACGGGAAATTAATTATTGTTGTTGGTGGTTTTAGTAACCAGAAGTCATTGTCGCATGTCAAATTTGGATTTCTAATTATAATACACTAAAAAACGAAGGACAAATAGAGAAAGAGATATATTTACGTTCTTATATTTTTTTTACTTTGAATTGGTTGTAGTTTGTTTGAAGCTAGATGTTGCTACCGAAGAATGCATATTAATCAGCCAATTGTACCCACCCAAAACTTCCAACTACATTGCAAATTAAATGATTTGCTGACCCTGATCATATGCCCACCATAAAAGCAGGGAAATGCAGGAAATAAGATGAACAAACAGAGAATAAGCTTAAATAATCTCCAGAGAATGAAGGAAAAGAAAAGAAAAGAACTTGATTCAACTTTGGGCAACAACAAGAGTATATGAAAGAACAGAATTTCATAAAATTAAGCTAAAAATATTTACCTAATTCAGAATTTGGGTTGCATGGTTTATTACCAATAGAGTTGAGAAAAACTAAATGCTAGCAATGGCTACAATACTATCACTTACTCGTAATTATGTAGATTCTATTGTTCCAAATTGACCAGAATCCAAGTTTGAAAACTCCGACTCTTCCCCTTAAAATCTCCAATTCTTAGAGGAATCACTTTTGATTTCGACGTATGAGGAATTCAGGGAACCTAAATAAGTTTAATGTTAGGAAATTTCAACTTTCGTAGAGTAAGCAAATTAAATTTACTTAAATCTCAATAATCAAAATGAGTAAAAATCCATACCTTGTTCTTGGCTTGGTGTTTTCGCTTATCGGCTATGTTACATAAGATAGATGCAATTGCTTTAACTCTTTTTCTAAAGCTGAATGGTTCAAAATTTTTAATTGCCAAAAACAAGACGCAACTAAATTTTCAGACAAATAAAATTGAAATGCTTACCTTAAAGCTTTTTTCTGGATAAATAAATATTTTACTTAACCAGATAGATGCAGGGGAAAATCATTCTATAAAGAAAAGTAACTAAATTCCCCCAATGCTAACATAAATTGGAATTCACTGGATACCCGGCTGCACGGTTCTTTTTTCCAAGTCTCTGTCTTCGTTTGCAACGAAACTTTGAATTGCAAAGAACAATGAATGTAGAAGAGAGAACCTAGTGAATGAGAGCCATTGAGACAGGAAATAGAAAATTAGTTTCGAGTATTTTTTATTTATTTTAACAGTTTTAATAATTTTATATCATGGGATTGAAAAAGATGGATACAATGTCATATAGTTATATACTTGGGTTTTGGTTCTTATTTAAATGCTACATGCCAAATGAAGAGTACATTAATAACAACAAAAAAACATGTTTCATACCATATTAAACCTGCTCAATGCTGATTAGAAACTTCTGTTTGATTTTTTTGAGCAAAGTCACAACATCCACAATATTGTTTCTATCCTCCGGTAACTCAGCCGAACATTTCAAAGCTAATTCCATGATGGATGATATGCAATTTGCTTTAATAATAAAATATTCATCATCTCTTCTTAATAAATTGGCATCCGCAATATCAATCATTCCTTTAGATATTGACATTTTCATCCAGTGCCTCATAGTCAATGCTTCACTAAAAATTTCATCTGTTGGCTTCTTTTTTGTGAAGGTTTCTATTAAAAGAATCCCGTAACTATATATGTCACATTTTACCGAAACAATTCCTGCCGATCCATATTCTGCATTTCAAGTATAACAGAAACCGTTATTGATCATCAACCAATTTTAAAATGGTTGTTCAACTATATCATGTAAAATCCTGAACATGAAAAAATATAAATAAAAAAAAAAGAAAAAATAACCATAAGTATACAAAAGATCACCTGGTGCCATATATCCAATAGTTGCAAGTGTCATGGTTTGTCTCATGAAATCATCTTCTTCCAATAGTTTGGCAATGCCAAAATCTCCCAAATGCGCAACCATGTCTTCATCTAGTAGAATATTACCTGGCTTTAGGTCGCAATGGATTACAGGAATTGGTTGACCAGCATGGAGGTATTCTAGAGCTGATGCAACATCTATCATTATATTGATCCTTTGTAAGATATCAAGAAAATGGCTTTCAGAATGTAACCATTTCTCAAGACTTCCATTAGGCATGAAATCAAGCACCAAGGCTTTGAAGTCCACATTAGAGCAGCAAGTAATGACCTTGACAAGATTGCGATGGACTATATTACGCAAAGCTTCACATTCAGTGTCGAAACTCCTAAATGCTCCCTCTATCTGCAAATTGAAAACTTTTATTGCAACATTCATCCCATCTGAAAGCCTCCCTTTATATACAGATCCAAAACTCCCTGAACCAAGAAAGTTGCATTCTCCAAATCCTTCAGTTGCTTGTGAAAGTTCATCATATAAAATTCTTCTCCGTGTTTTCAAAGATAACAAATCTTCCTTAACTGGTAGAGTTATACTCCTGCTTTTGCATTTCCTGTACATAATAGTAAAAGTTATGATTACTACAACAATAGCAATTGTTGGCAAAGCACACCTTAAAACACGCAGCATAATCAACTTGGAATTTTTGTGGAAGCTACTCTTGCAAGGTGGGACTTGCAATATAGGTGGACCACAAAGTGCATAATTTTTCATGAATGACTTGCTAGAAAAGTTTCGAAATTGTCCTTCAATGGGGATTTCTCCTTCCAATCTATTGTAAGACACGTTAAAATATTTTAGATTCAAAAGTTTCTCCAAAGACTTGGGAATAACTCCAGAGATATTATTATTGCATAAATCCAAGAATTCCAAACTAATCAAGCCACCAAATGATTCAGGAATATGACCATGAAATTTGTTATTAGATAAATCTAAAGAAACCAAAGTTTCAAGGCCCCCGATTGTAGGTGAGATATCACTCATCAAAAGATTCCTTGACAAATTTAAATACATCAATGCCCTTAAATATCCAACATCAAGTGGATGTGAGCTGCCAAGGTAATTTGATGACAAATGTTAAAATATTTTTGAGGCTCCACAAGATTGAAGGTATCGTAGAACTCAATTTGTTGGATCCTAAGATAAGATTTCTCAAAGAAGTCAAATTACCCAAACATATAGGCATAGGTCCTCCAAGCTTATTGTAAGATAATTCCAAATGAAATAATCTCTTCAATCCGCAAATATTTTGTGGAATGGGCCCTTGTAATCCATTCATTCCGAGAATCAAAACTTGCAAATTTCTTAGTCCACCTATTGTCGCTGGAATAGATCCACTTATTTTATTGTCGCTAAGGTGTAAAAGCAACATGTTGCTTAAGTTACCGACTTCCAATGGAATATTACCTTGAAGCTCACAATCAGAAGCTAAAAGTTGTTGAAGACTTCTAGAAAGATTCCCAATGTAAGTTGGAAGAATGCCATTCAATGGATTTTGTGAAACATCTATAAATCTCAAATTCATGCAATTTACCAAAGAAGAGAGAAAGCTCCACTTGTGAGTAGCAGGTTCTGCGGTAAAATGATTGTTCGCAATTGAGAACCATTCAAGGCGTCTTCAGTTGGCAAAAGCATTTGAAATAAGGCCAGAGAAGGAGTTATTTCTTAATGAAACCCTCTTGAGCATGGAAGCATTGGAGATAGAATTGAGAATGTTTCCGCTAAGATTATTTTCCCCCAGAATAAGTGTTTCAAGTTTTTGAAAACTGGTCATCGGTGGCAAGTTACCTGTTAAAAAACTGAATCTTTTAGTACTTTGTGCTTACCACAATTTTGTCAAAGAGAGTAAATTTGACAAGATAAAAACTAAATTGAAATAAAAAATAAAACTTGAAAGAAAAATAATGTATGTATTTACTATTTATGTATATTTTCATAGAAAATTTTGTGCAAACAAAGCAACCACCAATTCAATATATAAATTTTATTTTTAAATTAAAGGAGAAAAATTATCTTTGTTTTAGAAGTGAACTTGATTACTAACATCAAGCTAATAAACACACATCACCAATTGAATGATGTCGAAGTAGAGATTGAAATTCATATTTCATATAAGAATACAAGAATTTAAATTGTAAAAATAAATGAAAAGAGATTAAATCCATAGTGTGTCTAGGATCTTTCAAATTTTAAATTTCATTTAGATCCAATAAGGCTTGTAATTGAATTTCGAAGTAACCCATTTAAATCAACATTTTTACTTAAAGGGCAACAATTGCTTTGGGTTATATACGAATTGGTTTTGATTGATTCAGATTAGGGAAAAACCAGAAAAAATGAAAACAAGTTTTAATTGGATAAAAATAGGTGATTAAGCTTAGGAAGGTGATGACACATATCATCAAGCAATCTACCTGATAAATTATTATTTCGTAGATCAACAGCGGTCAAAGAAGAAATGTTGAAGATGGAAGTTGGAATCTGACCACTAAGACCCATATTTGTTGCACTTAATATCTCTAAACTAAAAAGATTACCAATTTCCTTAGGAATTTCACCTGCAAACAAGGTAAACAATCAAAGTGTTAGCTTGACCACCTATTTTGTTTAATTATTTCATTACATTGGTTGAGAAAATAAAATATTTTGTATTGAAAAAATAGAAAAAGAAATGAAAATGCGTTTAGACTAAAGAAATCAAATTAAAGCTCACCTTCTAAGTTATTTACACTCAAATATTTTTCTTTGAGTTGTGTTAAATTTTCAGTATTTATTGGAATGAACCCATTGAATTGATTACCAAACAATTTTAATTTTTGAAGCTTGCTGCATGTGCCTATACTTGATGGAATATAACTAGATAATTCATTCATGAACAAGTAAAGCACTTCAAGTTTGGGAAGATGGACACATAAATCATCTGGCATACTACCAGAAAAACTATTATGTTGGAGACAAATCTCTTTCAAGGGGGAAATCTTGAAAATGAAAAATGGAATTTGACCGGATGGTTGATTGTATCTACATTGGACATGTTAATAAGTTTTTGGGGAATTGTGCCTGTAAAATTATTATTTCTCTTACCCAAGCGGTTGAACTTAAACTTGTGTGTGGAGCCGAGCCAAGCCATTTTGTGAGCCATTGAATCGAAACCGGTTTTGGTAATTTTTTGTTTATTTATTTTATTTGTTTAAAATAAAAATTTGTGTTTTAAGGATTAAAAAAAATTAAATTTACAAAAATCTATTAAATTATTGAAGGATTTTTATTGATTAAAAAAATTTTAAAATAATTTTAAGAAAATCTTATCACACTAAAGGATCTTATTGAAAAATGAAATCTTACTTAATTATTGAAAGATTTTATGAATTTTAAAAAATATTTTTTCAAACTTAAATTTATGAAAATTTATGAAATTATTGCAAGATTTTCATGGATTTAAAGAAAAATTTTAAATAAATTTAAAAATTTCTACCAAACTATTGCAGAATCTTATTTTGAGAAATAAAATTTTATCAAACTATTAGAGAATTTTTATAGATTTATAAAAATTTAAATACATTTAAAAAATCTTAGTAAACTATTAAAGAATCTTATTTGAGACATAAAATTCTACAAAAGTGTTTAACGATTTCATGAATTAAAGAAAAAAATTGAAATTAAACATTACCAAACTATTTGAGAATCTCATTTGGGAAATAAAATCCTACCAATATATTTAAAGGATTTTATTGATTGAAAAATTAAATTTTTGAGAATAAAATCTGACAGATGAAGCCACTTCGAGGGTGATACTAATCTTTTTGAATATTTTTGATATTAGAAAATATTTCTAAATTACTACTAAACAATTGGAGTACGGAAAATTTCTTAAAACTATAATTTTCAATTTGAGGATTTTTTTTAAAGATGATTTTAAGGATTAATGGATAACAAGAAATCAACTGATACCATCCTTTAGATAAATGTTGTAAGGACCTATAATTTTTTCTGCACATAAACCATATTCCGGAACCTACTTTGATTTCATAGACCAAAATCCACTCTTTTAAAAACTTAAGTTAAGCATAGGATATCCCTTTAAAAGGAATAAGATTAATTAAGTGATTAATCATACCTAAATAAAAAAGATTGGTAAAGATATTTTTATTTGTATTTAGCGATCAAGTTTATGGACCTGTATATTATGATACATATTTTTGTCATATATAAGAGATTAATTTCATATTTTAATCATAATTTTTTTTTAAATATGATATAAGATATTTTCAAGTTTTGTCTAGATAAAAGATAAACGTGACAACCGTATCTTTTTTACATGATAATCACGTATCATCTATGTCAGCATTTAAATGTTATGTAAATATATATTTTTTTAAAAGGTTTAAGAATTGGGACAACTTAATATATGAAAATATAATTTAGATATCTAATTATTTTTTTTTCATTTAAGTATCGCATTAAAAAAAATATAATAATTCAGAGATCAAATGAAGTATTATCCCTATACAAAAAAATAGTGTCAAATAAGTCTTTTTTTTCTTTTTATAAAAAGAATTTCTCTATCCTGAAATTGCAGTGATTAGAGGAAGAATTTTTTTGTCAACTATTGTTAGTTATGAAAAAAATATTTTAACAATAAAATCTTGAATGCATTGATTTAATCTAAAAAATGCAACCTAAAAATCTTTCAATTAAATTTCCTCTAAGTTCAAATATGATAATTTTCTTTAAATTCAAAATCCATATGATTTAATGGGACAATGCCCTTAGATGATCTAAAAAAACCAAAGTAATTGTTACTGTAAAAGATAGTAGTACCCTTATTTTTGGGATGAGCAAGGGGGCTCAATTTATAGAAACTGTCCGAAAACAAGATGCAGATAAAACATGAGGTGAATGAGCGGCAAATGATCTAAGGCTTCAATGTCTGCTAAAAAGTGCTCCTGGATTCCTTTTGGGAAGAGAAAGAGAAAGGGAAAAGTGATAGGTTTAATAAAAAGGAAAGGGGGTGAGGAGCTTCCTTCATGGCTGGAGTAGTCTGTTTTGTCCTCAGCCCAATTTTGTTGTTATTGACAATAGATTTCTGTTACTTTTTTTTTTTTATATGCTTGCCTCTAATTGAGATCCTCCCCATAAAGTTTGGATATTCTTGAAGTCAAAGGTCTTTTGAGTAAGTTTAAAGCTTATACATATGCTTAAAGACAAGATAATTTAGGTATATATATCATATTTTTTTTATATTAAATATGTATAAAATATGAAAATTATCGTATTATAATTTGTATCAATACATTAAATATGAAATATAATTTTTAGATTTTATTAATGTAATATACAATTTTATTAAAAATTTTAATTGTTTCATTTTCATATCTTTTTTATATTATTCTATCATGTCATATTTAAAATTGTTAAATTTACTTAAACTACAAAAAATAGAAAATCAATGCTCGATGATTGTAATCTATCTATACTTTTTAGTAACCCCAAGATTTCTAGTTTATTGAGAGATTTGAAGAAGTGAAAAGGCACAATACACCCAATTTACATACTAGATTAGAAACAATTTTTGCATTTTGTTTGCATTTTGATTTTTCAATTTCTAATAATTTCTTACATTTTTACTTATATATATATATATATTATATGCGTGTATTCGTTCACATACATAAAAACAATCATGCTTTATTATTTTTAATTTGTCTTAAACTTTTTGTATATAAATCTAATTAATTTTTTGCTTATTTTTGAACTACTTAATTTAATTATGAGATCGATTAATTATGATTTAATTACTTTTACAGAGAAAATAAAGTATTTAGACAAACTTTTTGCAAATCATGTTCTTGTTTTCGGTTAATTTAATCAAATTTTTATTTAAAACTATTAAAAATTAAACTTTAATTTATTAGATTAAAAATTCAATATTATACACAATCGACGAAGACATGAATCTTTCCTTGCACATGATTAGTCGAAAAAAATGAAAAAGTTTAAAGAAGACTTGGGCCTATAATGATTGTTTATTAGATGGCCCAATCAAAATAATAATGATTTTTCTTGGCTCATGCCACCAACTAATTCTCTTGAATAGCACTTTTTATCACTCTATTGGTATATATGATCTCTTTATCACTTTGATATGATTTGTTATTTGTTAGAGAACATTAAAAAAGAAAAAAAAAAAAAACTTCACTTGAACGGCACTTTCAAACTTTTAATTTAACTTTGAGGGCCAATCAATATTAGTGAAACCCAATCTTTCAGGTTAAAAAACGAACTGATTGAAATTAATAATTTTCAATCATTAGATTTTGGCTTAATTTTATGTTTCTTCACTCTTTCAAATTTCTAGATTCTCCATAAAATATTCAAATAATTCACCATGATTTGACATATCAACTTAGCGATACTAATGTTATGATCAAGGTTAGACTGTTTTCTATAAGTGATAAGATCTAGTGTCTCTGAGTTTTGTTAGGTCCAATTTTTTTTTCTGAATGATTTTAATGATACATTTTTTAATTGGATGCATTTAAAATTTTATTTTTAGAATATTTTCTTATGGATCAAACTTTCAGATGACCTTATTTTTAGATTTTAAATTATTGTAATAAAAATAAACATAAAAATAATTAAGTTTAAAATACTAGTACTAAAAAAATGATATAGTCTATAAAATTAACTTTTTGTTCCAAAATGAACTAGTTAACCTTTCTGAACTAATGTGTATGACTTGGCAAAAATAAACTATTGTAAATGAATGATATTTCAGTCTTTATAAAAAAATTTTAAAAGACTTGGTTTTCTTTGTCAAAAGTTTATTGAGAGTCAAAAGCCAATACTTTCTCACCTGCAGATGACAGCAAATAAAATGTTGTTCATTGAAAGTTCGAGTGATAGGTTTGTGTACGATTACGTGAGCCTTTTACTTGTTCAAGTGTTGTAAAGGGAGTGTGAGAACGGTTGCCGCTAGCATTCTCCAATGTCAGTATGATGCTGTTCGTAATTATAATACTGTTCAAGAATTCAACCACTAAATAATTAAAACTAGCCTGGATTTAGTAGGTTTTTTCACAAAACTTTTTACTTTATCAGGAGATCAAATAAATAAAACTGAAAACAAAACAAACAAAAATAATATGATAAATAACTACAATTATAGGTAAAATATAATATTAGAAATTGCATTGTTTCATCTTAAAAATCTAATTATAAATGTAGAAAGTTAATATAGAAATTGAAAATTCTAAGCATCTTGAACGCCAACATAAGGTTTGGTTACGGAACCAATGTGTAATCTTCCATTAAACTCATTAACTTCACTAATGGAGTTAAAGGTAATTCCACCGTTTCCATCCAATTGCTTCAAAATATTTCCTTCTTGGTCATACTTGATCCCAATAGGATCCGGGACATCATTCTGAATCGTTCTTGATCTCCAGTGTTTAAAGCTACCCAAAATTCTCCTTTTGCATTAGTTTTAATGTTATCAGGAACTCTAGGTAACCGAGCAAACACTTCTGGATGATAGTTTCTTATTTCATCTTCAAGTCTAAACCTTAAAATTGTCATTCTAGTCGATTCAGCCACTAGAACAAAATAATTATTTTTGTTTAGAGCCACCCCATTCGGAAAAACTAAACCTTTATACATTACGTGTACTTTTTTTTGTGTGGGAATCATATCTGAGTAGCCGCCCACTTCTATCCGTTGATCTTAATAAGTAATCGACATACCTACAAAATCAGAAAGGCAATTAGTTTTCTTTTTTATATGAGAGTGGGATAAGGTTTTAATCCTAACATGTGATATTATACATCCTAACATGTGATATTATATATCCTAACATATGATATTATATTGGGAGGGAAATTGATGAAGTATAGAGGCAGAGAGAAAAAATATGGTACCTCCTCTGGAA